CCAGAGCAGCACTACTGACTGAAGTGTCTTTAGGCCATTCCCAAAGGAAGGATATTAACATGTCCTTATGTACAGTAGAAATGTAAATGGGCTGATATATCAATGTCATGCTCAAACTGTGCCGGAACAACATAGGGGGAACTACTGCTTTTCCTTTCTTCATCCTTACTGTCGTCATTTTTCCTCTACTTCTTTTGTATGTTTGTCACTCTCTTGTGAACTGCTCTTTCCGGGTTGCCTTGACTGTCGAAGCGGACTCTTGAGCTGTTGAGGCTAGAGAGGTGAGCAGAGTAAGCCTGATTCCCCGTTTGGACTTCTCTGTTGATATCCACCCCTTGGCGCTCATATGACCTTATGCAGTTGCGAGAGCCATAAAACTTTAAAAAAAACAAACAAACAACAACAACAACAACCCCCCAAACAAACAACAACAAACAAAAAACAACAAGACAAAACAAAACAAAAACAGGTTCTCCCACCTGAGCTTGACACTATATAAAGGCTATGTGATCAAGTCTATCGTGCAAGGAAAACACCAACATGCTTGGAAGTATATGTTATGCTACATCTTATGAGGTACCCCAAGGTCATGCTGTATACACACTATGAGCTAACAGATTCCAACTACATCTATCGCAGGGCTGTCCAATCCCTCGAAGACCACTAACTTTTCTTTCAATTTATTTCCAGGAGATGGATCTGACACGCGGATTCACCTACATCAAGCTTTTCACGTCACGGTTCTCCAGTCCAGTCCAAATTATGTCAAGCATACGTCTATAAAACGGCGCTTAAGTGGGTGGTCACTGAGGTGTGTCCTTGAGCAAGACATAACAACTTTAGCTTAACCACCCGACCTTTCAATCAAATCAGGGCTCTGTACAGTGGCGATCAACCATGGTATGTTTGTGGTATATTACTGTGTCAATATGTATGTATCTATGTATTTAGGTTTGTGTAATATGCTACACCGTTGTAAACCAAATTTCTCCACACAGGTCTACAAAAAGAGGATATACAGTCTTTACAAAAAGTTAAGGAACAGTCAGGATAATGCCAAGTATTTTCAAATAACCATTTTTTTAAAAAGCAATCTGATTTATCTTGTAAATTTCTGCATCAAGGCTAAGTGGTCAATAGTGAATACGGTAACCACTGTGTGGGTAACTCGTGTGCATCATACGGCATGCTTGGCGCGAGGGAAAATCTGCAATTTCAGCAAAACTGGGCCGAGTTTCAAACGACAGTGAGCGATACCTGGGGCTTTCTGCATCGCAAAAATGAGATGAACGTGGAAGAATGCACCTCTGGCTACGAACTGTGTCCGCTTGTCTGCGTACGTAAGCCGCCGTTTCAGCTCTGTTTTACAGTATTACCGCGTCAAGCCAGATGCTACCACGACAAAAGGGGAACGACGTCGACAGGACCCGGGCAATTGTCTGGCTGCAGGATGAAGTTGGCGTACGCAAAGTGTCACGCAGACTTCAGGTATCACATTCTACCATCATACGGCTGAGGCTGCGGTTTGCAGTAACAGGAAGAGTCCAGGAGCTGCGTCACACGGGTCGTCCCAAGAAAACGACAGCAAGAGAGGACAGCTACATCCAACGCCAAGCCATACAGCAGCAGACTAGCTCTGCCAGCGTCATCAGGCGACGTCTGCGAGCTGCCATCAACACCACAGTCTGTTCGCAGACAATACGTAATCACCTTCATGACGTCAGCCTTTGTGCGCGTCGTCCAATCAGAAAACTTAAGCTGACCCACAACCAGCAAGCTAACCGTCAAATCTGGTGCACTGTGCACCAGAAGTGGACAGGTGACCAGTGGACACAGGTCCTGTTCACTGATGAATCTCGGTTCTGTCTGACACTCAGTGATGGCCGAACCCGCATCTAGAGGCGTCCACGGGAGCAGCTTGCTGCCAATGCAGTTCAAGAAGTGGTCCCGTTTGGAGGCAGCTCCATTATGGTTTCGGGGAGGGGGGATCAGCAGGCATCCCAGAATCCCCCTTTACAATGTCCACGATATCCTGACCGGGCAGCGGTATCTGCAGGAGATCCTTCGACCTCTGGTCATCTCGGCGCTGCAGCAGATTGGGCCTTCTGTTGTCCTTCAGGACGACAACGCCACACCGCACAGGTCCAGGGCTTCAACGTCTACGTGCAGTAGGCGGGGATTACCAGCATGGTTTGGCCAGCCAACAGTCCAGACCTCAATCCTATTGAACAATTGAGGACTGAGCTTGGTTGGAGAGTTCGAGAGAACCACCCTTTGCCCTCTAACCGACAGCAGCTGCTTGGATGGCTGCAACAAGAATGGAACATCATTCCCCAGGCCTTTCTGGCACGCCTGATCAACTCTATGCGCCAGCGGTGCCTTGGCTGCCTTGCCGTGAATGGTGGGCACACGAGCTTCGGACAATCCCATTGACACTCACGATCTTAAAGAGGTCGTTTTCTTTAATATTACTGAGACTTTTTGTGAACCTTTCTTTTGTGATTTCGTTTGAGGGTGGCTCCCTTTTGAGCGCTGGGAATTACGCATTTCGCTTTCGATTGTGGTGAAATTTCCTTTTTGCTTTTATGGATTGATAAATAAAATGTATGTCAAAGAAAGAATCATTTGATTTCGCGGGTTTTTACTTTGTGTGCACTTTGGGAAGCGGTGCTTAACATTTTTTGTGAAGACTGTAGCATCATGGGTCTTTTTGTTTTTGTTGACTGCTTAAAATTTCAGTAAATCTAGAGAAATTAAAATGTTAGCGTTGAAAAAAGCCAGCGCGGGACTGTCTCTAAATTCTAATAAAAGCAAATAGGCAGAGACAAATGCAGTAATTATGACCCTTGAATCTAAGCATTGAAAGACCTTGACCATCCTGAACAATTGAGGCATTGAATGGCCTTGAACGTCTGGCTTTTTCTGGAAAAAATAGAAGGTAAAAGAGGGAAACTAGTTAAAAGATGACTTGCATAAAGCTCTTGAATAGATCGGTGACGGGGAAATTTAGACCAGGATAACGTAATTTCTTTCTTGCAGCATTTATATTATTATGTGCAGGTAAATCAGCTGGGTGGTTGGTAGGTGCGTTGATGTGATTTGCTCTTTCTTTCCTATCAAACGTTTATCGTGTTATTTCTCCTCCTTTTTTAGCCTTGTCCGTTACTCTGTTATAACAGCTCTACTCTCCGGCACTTTCAGGACTGGGTTGTATTGCAAGAGCGATAAAACTTTTACTAAAACCAAAATGCAAGATACATAAAAGACAAACTGTGATCACATATTATCATCTACCTTCATGGAGACGGCGCTTCCATTGCCTGTCTTTGTTACGGAAGCTAGTTAAACGCCATAACGCCAGTGTTGGTATCTACTCATTAGGCCTTTTTGTCCGGCTTTCTTTAAAGTGTGGCCTGCTCTTTAAAAACTAAACACATGTATTGTAATAATTATTAGGAATGAATGCTTTTATTTATAATATCATCTTGTGATAAGGTTCATTATGGAAACTTTATTCAACAAATGGGTTTTTTATATGATCTGGTGAGGGCCTATGTTTTTTTTACAAAGTCGGACTACAGGCAAGGTCAGCAGGGTTTAAATACTGAATAATCTTACTACTTAGATCTACATCATACGTTCTCTTATACATCAAATAATGATAGCAATCAGGGTATCTTTTGTAGGAAGGCGTATATTAGTCCAATCATCTTACAACCGATTGGCAATAGCCGGACAGGTAGATCTATATCTGTCATTGCTGTTTTATTCGCTTTCCTGGAGCATCGGTTCCCAATCTCTTGTTTCTTTCTGGTGATAAGGAATGCGAGAAATGAATCTGGCCTTTTTAAATCAAACAGACCACCATTCGCCCAATATCAACGGAAAAAGGAAAAAGAAGTAGAGCCTAAGCCTTTTGGACATAATACGTCCTTTTTAAAAGGGTATTTGGCATCGGTGGCAACCCTGCTTTTCGCTACCACGCATCGTCGGCAGATGGCTAGAAGTGAGCATGTCCACATTCCTCGTTTTGAGGAAAATCTAACTTTAGGGCACAGTGTAATATAATATTACTCTTGGACAGAAACGTATGGGAATCTGTGTTTGTGGCAAAACCACTTGTTGGACTGGTTTGATATTTTCAGACAAGAAGCAATACAATATCGTTTAAATGCCTAATTAAATATCGCTGGGATTTTTTTCCTTTAGAAGGCATTTTGGCGCAAATGGACAAATGGACATGGTCACTTCTGGCTTTCAGCCCACGCTATTACGTCAACAGGCAGACAGGCTGGCGCGCACGCCCGTGTGTGAGTTTACAGGTGCGCCCCGCCAGTCATACCTCTCAGGTGCGGCTCCGCGATTCTAGTGTCGGACAGAGAAAGCGTGAAGCGACAACAGGAATGCACGCACGAGAAGGCTACCTCACTTGATACAAACATCGTCATTGACGTTCTGGAGCTGCGGCGCCTCATGGTGGAGTTGTGCATGCTGCGAGAGTCGCGGAACCGATGCCACCACTTCTTCACGGCTCGACGTACCTGTGTGG